TTTAAATTTTTTGCTTTAACCTTCTAAAGTGCCTCATCAAGAGGGGATGTTGAGGTGGACTTTTTGGACGCAGTCGAAACACTGTGGTCAGAAGAACTTTCTCGCCCTTCGAGAATGGCAGTCAAGTAACCCAGAGGATTTTGCTGTTTCATCAAGGCCAAAGCTTCTTTGGTTCGAGACCCTGTCGAAGGGGCACCCTCATTAGTGGCAGTAGCCACATTAACTACTTGTGCTGGAATATGGACAGCTTCAGTGTTCGTTACATTTTGGGCCCCTTCAGTAGAGTCTTCTCTGCCATCAGCATCTGGAATTCTTTCATCCTGATTTCCCCCCTCCAGCATATATTCCCTCTATGTTCCAGCTACGACATCAGTAGCCTCCTCCTCTTCACCTTCCTGTGCATCACCTAGAGGAGCCCTAGTTTCTTCCTGTTCGCCTAGAGGGCCTTCTTCATTTGCTTCCTCTATGGTCTCATATTGAGGCTCAGAAGTTTGGTTCACCTCATCAGCGGAGCTAACAAAGGAGCCTTTTGCTAAAGAACGCCTATAAGTGGGATCTCCCTCACTATTTAGCAGAGTGGAAGATCCATCGACAGGAGTGGGAGCCTATTTAGAAGTGTCGGCGGTATCCTGAAGATTAAGAAGTTTTATTCTCAGAATTCTTATGAAAAAAGGGGTTAGTTTAGGAAGTAAGCAGATGTCTGTCGAAGTAAATACCTGAAGAGGAACTTCGGCACCAGAGCTGGAATTATCACTCTCACTGGGGTTATTTAGCCTAGCGGTTACTTCTTGCTCAGTGGGTTCTCTGATGACTACAGGAGGAGGCCTTGATTTGGTAGCTGTAATCTTAATTTTTGTTTTGGGACGAGGTTCAGGTGCGGGAGCTGCTTTCTTTAATTTTTGTCTCTTCAAAGGAACAGGAGGAGACTCCTCTTCTTCATCACTAGAGATTTCAATTTCCCGAACCTTCCGTTTCTTGGGAGTGGTCTTCTGAACATCCAGAAAGATAAGAGTCGAAGACATCAACATCTATATCAGAAAATAGAAAAGGAGAAAGGTATAGCAGAAAGTGAATACCTTTGGTGAAGGGTTAACAGAAGGGTCTCCCCCTTTGGTGCTTTCAGTAGCCTTTTTTGTGCTGGTCCTCTTGACAGCTACAAAAGAAACAAATATAAGGTGACATCGAATGATTGAATCTAAGACAAGGAAACAAAAAGAAATAAAATATTACCTTTCTTGATCTTGTCAAGGACTAGTTTGAATGCCTTGCGAAGGTGGTGGGTGAAATCCTTCTCGTCGAAGAGTTCCTCATTATAATACTGCCTCCACCACCCCTCAAAATTGGGTGAACACATAAATTGATATTGAAGTCAAACAGAGTTAGTACGGTCCGACCAACGTACCTACCAAAGGGCTTGGTAGCAGCATCCTCTGAGTAATCTGCGTTATAAAATAATAGCAGTTTCTCTCGAGAGTAGATGGGAGATGGGAGTGACTGGACAATATCGAATTGTCGAGAGACAAGATTTGGTTGGTAAGCAATCAAACTTAATTGATTCTTCGAACTCTTGAATCTCATTGGCATGATTCTGGGTCGAAGAAACAACTCCCAAATGGCCACATATTCGTCCTCTAAGTCTTCCTCATCAGCTGAAGGAAATGGTCTGGTAAACCATTATGGGCCAACTTTTAGACTGGTGAAAGGAGCCATGGTCGAAACAAAATTTTTGCACTCTGCAAACATCATCACAAAGATGGTGAAGGCCTTTTGAAATTGCTGACCCTCGTCAGTCGGAGTTGAAACAACCGGCTGAAAATCATCAAAACAATGAAGTCGCCATCGAACGTCTTTTATCCCACATGTAGGGAAAGGTAAACATCGAGAAAACCTGAGAAGGGATAAGTCACGGTCTTGCGACCGAGATATCGGGTAAGGGAGTCTGTTACGCGAGGGGAAGGTATTAGCACCCCACACGCCCGTAGTACTCTACGGTATCCACTCTTGTTATCTATCTTATGGGTGTGTTTAATCTATGCTTACTATCTACTATACTACTGGAGGGAAAATGCATGCAAAAGAAAAGAGAAAAGAATGTAGGGAAAATAAAATTGTGCTCACCTGGGCCCTACCCCAATGCCTACGTATCCTTTTTGAGGAATTAGAGTTACCGTAGTTCGACTCATATGTTTTTGTTTATTTATGTTTTTTATGGACGATGTTAATCCTGCCTTCTGCCGCAGCTCGACCTTTGGAGACTTATGCGTTGGCATAGAAGTAAACTAATCATGTCCTTACCTGAAAAGGGTTTTAGAGAAAAGGTGCTCGAGCGCACAAAACGGTTTGAATTTGTTTTGTATTTTTGTTACCTTGAAAAAGGGTTTAAGTGTTGTTAGCATGTTTTATGATTTGCTAAAAAAAGAAGTTTTTGTCTTAATGCAAGGATGCAAAAAGGGAAGAAAAGAGTCTAAGGGAGACTAGCCTATTTCTAAACCTAATGTTAGCATGTATGATTTACAACCTAAGGTCTAACTTGCGTCCGAACGGAGCAAGTGCATCCTAAGGGAACATGGTATGTACAAGGATGAAGCAAACAAGCCAGCAAAAAAGCACACCTAAAGAGATCCTGCCTAGGTTAGTATGTCTAAGAAAAGTCTAAAAAACTATCCTATAGGGAGCATGCAATGAGAGCGAAGTCGTGATCTCAATTTCTAAATTGAGTGACTCATCGATCAGCAAGAAAAGAAAGCGATAAAATCCTATAGGGAGCATGCACTGAGAGCGAAGTCGTGATCTCAATTGCTAAATTGAGTGACTCATCGATCGACAAGAAAGTAAACAAACACAAGCACAACATATATAGCAAATGAAGTGCGGAATGCCTGCTACAGGTCTTTAAACAGCGACTTCGAGCGCACGCTCTTTATTTCCTATTTCTCATGATATCTAGAAAGCAATGAAGTGTGGAAATGAGGAATAAGAGTGAAATTGCGATGATACCAAACAGAGGAGGTCCGTTGCCTCTTCGAAACCATGCAAGCCATAAGAAAACTCTACAGAAGCCTCCTTGAATTCCTTGATGAAAATTATGCTCTTGGCTAGCTTTGAAACTTCATGAAACTCCTCACTCAAGTCTCTTTTATTTCAAAATCTCATACAAAATTGGCATTAAAATCTACCAAAAACATGGATAAAATAACAAACAAAGTTAATAAAAGAAGTAAAATTCTATTCTAATATTTTTTAAATTTTTATCATGTGAACAATTAAGAAAAAAACATGTAGAAGTATCACACAAAATTATTTAAGAAATAATAGAAAGTATTCAGAGGGTGTAAACTGCATATAATGGCACTGTATAGCAAACAAAATGAAGCATTAATCCCATGTAGGAATGATCCAATAAGCCCCTTTTCATAATGTTTTCCAAAAAATATCACTAGGCCTTAGTGCATCAAAGCCCAATGCGCATAACCCCTAATCCGTACCTGCTTTCAACATTATCAATTTAGTTTTATTTAATTCTGGAAAAAAAATAAAAATAATAATAATAAATGGTAGAACGATGTAAGAAGGGATTAGGGTTCGAAATTGACGTTCAGACTCCTTCTTCTTCAACGAATCACACCGCTCTTCCGCTTCAGCCGTCGTGACCTTCGTCTCTCACACCGTTCTGATTCGGTTTCGCCATTCATCTCCGCCTCAGGCTTCAGTCATCGCAGCTTAAGCTCATTCACAGTGTCTCCGATCAACACAAACCTCTTCTTCTCCGATTTAACATCGCACAGCACCGCCGTAGTTATTCGGTTCCTCATCCCTCCGTTTCGGCCCGTTTTCGCTCCGATTTCCTTCGCGATCCCGCAATCGTCTTAGACGCGGCTACCTCATCACTTCAACATCATCGCGATATTGTCTTCCATCATCCTCATTATTAAACTTCGATGCGGCGATTTCAAGCTCGACTCCATGTTCCTCTTTGGAGTTTCTATTCGAGAATTCGCTCCAGTTCGAACGTTCTCAGTACCACTAATACTTTCACAGATTCAAACAAAGAAAAACAGAAATCATAAAAGTATGAGCATAACATCTTGTCGACCAGCGTAGCTCCGACAACCCTTGTATCTTGATGATAACTCAGAAAACCAGAGCTGAAACTTTAACCAGGTACGATTGTAACGAAACTTTTGATTCTGGTCTTCTCTTTCCACCTTTCTTGCGTTCTTGGACCTTGCTCTTGGTTCAAATGATGATGGTGCAATTATTGTCAATTCAGAAACAGAGAAATGTGATGGTGATGATGTTGTTCGTTGATGCAGAGAGAGGGAGTATGCGTGAAGATTTATGATGATGAATGTTGAATTTAGAAAGAGGAAGATTCGGTCATCTCGATGTAGAATCAAAGATTATGAAAAAATAGCCGTGATGCGGTTCCAAGAGATAGCGGAGAGAATTTGAGTTTTTGGTGAGTTTTCTTTGATTGCCAATCTCTTTCCTCTTTTTCTATTTCTGCGTTTTTGAATTTGCACTTCCGCGAACCGCTATCGTGATGCAGATGACTGAAGCGTGCGTTGTTGTGATTACAGCGGTGTGATTTGATGTTGATAATAGATGGAGAATGAAGGTCTTTCGGTTTTTGTTGCTTGGAGGTTGAAGCAGGGATACAGTTTCAGAATTTGCAGAGACTTGTGAAGGTCAAGATAATGAATGATTGTGGTGCCTTTCAGAGAGATGTTGAGAGATGAGTTTTCTATCACTGGATTTCTTTTTGATTTTTTTCTATTGAAAGAACCTCGTGAATCCTCCCCCTCTCTTTCTGTTATACCATTTTTTATTAGAAAAAAGTTTGTTAGAGATGTTATGAAGGGTTAGCAGTTTGTCATGTGCAGGGCTGCTTTGGAAAATGGTTAGGGAATTTATAAAATTCTGTTTTGGCTAGCAGTTAGGGAAATGGTTTTGACAGTTAAGGGTTGTTAGAATCTGTTTTGGTTATTGGTAGTGAAGTTATGTGGCAGTTGGTTAGGAGAGGTTTGTTAGGTTCTATTTGTAATTCTGTTAAAGGTTTGGTTATATGGCAATTATAGTTGTTATTCTGTTAACAGTTATAGCAGGTAGGCTGATTTATGCAGGTAGGCAGGAGGTACCACAAGGTAGCGTATTTGTGGATATGGTGTCAATTTTTGCGGATGCAGGGCTGTTTGAATTGGTTAAGCAGTTAATTGCTTTGACAGTTGGGGCGGTTCTGAAAGTTAGTTGCAATTTTGTTTTTTTTGTTGGAATCTGTTGTTTTTAGGGAAGGAGAGAGGGAGTTATCACAGTTAGAAATTGGTTCTGCTATGATATGGTTATTTGGTTGGTAATTAGTTGTTTGGAAATTATGCTTTTTAACAGTTATGCTAGCTTTTTCCTTGAACATGGTGGTTTTCCTAGATTGGTTTTGCAGGTTGCGGAAGCATAGTGCCATGGCCTCGATGAAAGAAAACGGAAGCGATGAGAAGGAATCTTGAAGGTCAGCAGTTTGGTAATGAAGGCAGCAACATGAAGATATGAATACGTCTTCGTTTATGGGATTTGAGAACCAATGTCGCATGGAGATGACTAAAGATATTCTTGTAGCAAATTGAAGAGACTTATGTAGCTTAGAGAATATTGTCACCTCTTGTAATTTTCTTTGTGAATTGTAACTTGTTTTTTGTATAACATCAACATGGCTTGTAAATTTGCACGATTATGACCTTGAACAAACATGAATATCTGAAGTTGGATAGAACTCTGATGAATGCAAGCAATGATTAAGTGAATAACCTGGTTATTCTTACCAACAAATTTCATGTTTTGATTTGTCATTCCAAGTCAAACATATCTTGGAACCATACACAAAACTTAATTGATTAAGTGATGCATAAATGAATCCATATCTTCTCTTGTATGAAAGCCATGTAAACATTCTTCCCACTTTGATCCATTTTTGACAAATTGAATTAGTAAAAGATAGAATCATAGAATGCGATGCCACCATCCCTTACAATTCGAGCCTTAATTGATTAGAGAATGTGCCGATGACCTTGGCTTGGTGAATAAATGAATTATATCCATTTAATAGCAAGCCACTTGACATTAATCTTGATCGATCATAAGAAGGTTCAACATGACTCTCTTCCCTATGAAATCCTCAGATTAAAACTAAGCTTTAGAAACATCCAAGGAAAGAGGTTCAATTGGAATATTGATTCAGTCATTAAGCGCCACAAATGAAACCTTAATACACTTGTCTCAGGATGGAAATTTGATGAAGACAGAAGTCCGTAATGACCATGAAAACACAACCCTAGCTTTAAACCATTGATTTTTGCAAAAAAACTCGCAAACCATTGATTGTTGAAGAAATCAGTTGAATCTCCCTAAATGAAGACGAGGGCTTAAAAGTATAGAGAAACCCTAATTCCATCATATCACTGATTCCATGCCAAATTATGTTGTTAGCGAATGTATGCAATGTTAAATGACCTAATAGAGATATGTACATGAGAAAAGCGCGACAATGCATACCAGATAAAAGTAGAAGGGTAGGACAAATTTGGGGTATTATAACTGCCCCTATTTAATCGTCTTAAACCTGAAAGTACGATTGGTGCATGCCTTTTGGAAGTTCAAGGTGGAAGATGATTAAATACCAATGCCGAAAATTTGTCCTGGGAGGAAGTATAAGTGTTTTCTTTATTTTTTTTGGTATCCGCTGGGGAAAAGAAATTTGTTTTTTCAATGAAGAGACAGAGATTGGACTTGTAACATGGCTGGATGCCAATACAAGACAAATGGTTGGTATGAAAAGACAGTGGACGAGGTTTGCGGGCGACCTACGATCCTAAGGTGACACATGAGAGTGATTTGACAGAGAACCTAGCCAAAGGGCGATCTCAGGTTCGACGGTGATCTACGGAAAGAACCTAGCCAAGAGGCGATCTCAGGTTCGACGATGATTTGAGGGAAGAACCTATCCAAGAGGCGATCTCAGGTTCTAAGAAGGTGATCTAAGGAGGAACCTAGCCAAGAGGTGATCTCAGGTTCTAAGATGATCTAAGGAAGAACCTAGCCTACGGGCGATCTCAGGTTCGACGTGATTTGAGGGAAGAACCTAGCCAAGAGGCGATCTCAGGTTCTAAGATGATCTAAGGAAGAACCTAGCCTACAGGCGATCTCAGGTTCAACGATAATCTATGGGAAGAACCTAGCCAAGAGGAGATCTCAGGTTCTAAGAAGGTGATATAAGGAAGAACCTAGCCAGGAGGCGATCTCAGGTTCGACGATGATCTAAGGAAGAACCTAGCCTACGGGCGATCTCAGGTTTGACGGTGATTTGAGGGAAGAACCTAGCCAAGAGGCGATCTCAGGTTCTAAGAAGGTGATCTAAGGAGGAACCTAGCCTACGGGAGATCTCAGGTTCGACAGTGATTTGACGAAAGAACCTAGCCGAGAGGAGATCTCAGGTTCTAAGAAGGTGATCTAAGGAGGAACCTAGCCAGGAGGCAATCTCAGGTTCGACGGTGATGGTATTGGGAAGAACCTAGCCAAGAGGCGATCTCAGGTTCTAAGAAGGTGATATGAGGAAGAACCTAGCCTACGGGCGATCTCAAGTTCGACGATGATTTGAGGTAAGAACCTAGCCAAGAGGCGATCTCAGGTTCGACGGTGACGGTATGGGAAGAACCTAGCCTACAGGCGATCTCAGGTTCGACGATGATCTACGGGAAGAACCTAGCCTACAGGCGATCTCAGGTTCTAAGATGATCTGAGTAAGAACCTAGCCTACGGGCGATCTCAGGTTCGACGATGATGTATGGGAAGAACCTAGCCTACGGGTGATCTCAGGTTCGGCGATGATCTATGGGAAGAACCTAGCCTACGGGCGATCTCAGGTTCTAAGATGATCTAAGGAAGAACCTAGCCTACGGGCGATCTCAGGTTCTAAGATGATCTAAGGAAGAACCTAGCCTACGGGCGATCTCAGGTTCGACGATGATCTATGGGAAGAACCTAGCCTACGGGCGATCTCAGGTTCGACGAAGATCTATGGGAAGAACCTAGCCTACGGGCGATCTCAGGTTCTACGATGATCTATGGGAAGAACCTAGCCAGGAGGCGATCTCAGGTTCTAAGATGATCTAAGGAAGAACCTAGCCTATGGGCGATCTCAGGTTCGACGATGATCTATGGGAAGAACCTAGCCAAGAGGCGATCTCAGGTTCGACGATGATCTATGGGAAGAACCTAACCAAGAGGCGATCTCAGGTTCTAAGAAGGTGATCTAAGGAGGAACCTAGCCAAGAGGCAATCTCAGGTTCGACGATGATCTATGGGAAGAACCTAACCAAGAGGCGATCTCAGGTTCTAAGAAGGTGATCTAAGGAGGAACCTAGCCAAGAGGCGATCTCAGGTTCAACGATGATCTATGGGAAGAACCTAGCCTACGGGAAATCTCAGGTTCGACGATGATCTAAGGAAGAACCTAGCCTACGGGAGATCTCAGGTTCTACGATGATCTAAGGAAGAACCTAGCCTACGGGCGATCTCAGGTTCTACGATGATCTAAGGAAGAACCTAGCCTACGGGCGATCTCAGGTTCTACGATGAACGGAAGAACCTAGCCTACGGGCGATCTCAGGTTCTAATAAGATCTAAGGAAGAACCTAGCCAAGAGGCGATCTCAGGTTCGAAGATGATCTAAGGAAGAACCTAGCCTACGGGCGATCTCAGGTTCTACGATGATCTAAGGAAGAACCTAGCCTACGGGTGATCTCAGGTTCTACGATGAACGGAAGAACCTAGCCTACGGGCGATCTCAGGTTCTAAGATGATCTAAGGAAGAACCTAGCCAAGAGGAGATCTCAGGTTCTAAGAAGATATAAGGAAGAACCTAGCCAAGAGGCAATCTCAAGTTCAAAGATGATATAAGGAAGAACCTAGCCAAGAGGCGATCTCAGGTTCAAAGATGATCTATGGGAAGAACCTAGCCTAGAGGCGATCTCAGGTTCGACGATGATCTAAGGAAGAACCTAGCCAAGAGGCGATCTCAGGTTCTAAGAAGATCTAAGGAAGAACCTAGCCAAGAGGCGATCTCAGGTTCGAAGATGATCTAAGGAAGAACCTAGCCAAGAGGCGATCTCAGGTTCGAAGATGATCTATGGGAAGAACCTAGCCTACGGGCGATCTCAGGTTCGACGATGATATAAGGAAGAACCTAGCCTACGGGCAATCTCAGGTTCTACGATGAACGGAAGAACCTAGCCTACGGGCGATCTCAGGTTCTAAGATGATCTAAGGAAGAACCTAGCCAAGAGGCGATCTCAAGTTCTAAGAAGATCTAAGGAAGAACCTAGCCAAGAGGCGATCTCAGGTTCAAAGATGATCTAAGGAAGAACCTAGCCAAGAGGTGATCTCAGGTTCGAATATGATCTGAGGAAGAAGAACCTAACCAAGAGGCAATCTCAGGTTCTAAGAAGGAAACATGGGTTACGACATGATGATTGTTTAGATAAATGACATGGACGAGCGTTTAGGGAACTGACTACCAGATAAGAACTGGGTTTAGAATGACAAAGCGTATTGGTTTTGCTGGGCATTGAGAAGGTGAAGGTCATCGACTGGGGATTCTGGGGATGATATCCTTCTGTAGGGATGTACTGTTGTCCCTGAATAATTCATGTCTTTTGTGTAAGGTACTTGATTTGGCTTATGCTTTGTATGCATGTTTGAATTTCTTTTGCCGTAAAGATCCATTCTGATGGATCGGCTACGCGCTTTTGAGGATGAAATGTTATGCAGTGATAACTATATGCAATGCGAAGAAATAAACTTCATGGGGATAAGAGTAGGCTTGCTGGGAACCATTGCTCATCACTGGGAATGTCAATATATATTGACGTTGGAAGCCTGCAATATCAAAGGTTGTTGGGGATACTGATAAGAATTTGCACTGGAGAGTTCTTGAAGACCAAAGATCGTTGATGACTTTGCTAAAGATTGAATTGCTGACGAAGCGAGTCTTCAGGTACGCTGCTGGATTCTGAATCGTACCGTTGGGGAAGAGATAATCTGACCAAACCTCCATACATCCTGAACCGTTGAGAGGATGATAGAACTGAATATGCCAAAGAATGGATACTGAACACCACGTGGATCCCTTTAAATACATGTCCCAATTTTACGCATACTGGGGAATTATCTCTTGAATCACTTAGGGATAAGAGATGGGCATGGACACCTATGAATGCCCCGGTTGAACTCTACGAATGCCCTAGTCTGGCTCTGCGAATGCCCCGGTTTAGCTCCATTGGGGATGTTCTTGATTAACTCCACTGAGGATGCACTTGCGCGCGCCGAGTCAAAAGACGATTCTAGACTTTCTGAATTCACTTGGGGAATCAGACCCGAAGTTGTCTGTAGTATATGGAGGCAGTTTCGTGCGCTGGCGAGGTCAGAGTGACCGTTATGATGCTTTTAGCTTGAT